ACTATTTATTTTGAATTCCTGTTAAAGGTTTCCTCTTCCTAAAATTTTGGCGGTTAAGACTTGCGCTCTCGTAACGGTCAAATACTTATTTTGACCTTAAATTCAATGACGTAGACGGATTTTCTCCAGGGTCGATTTTTTAGTTACGAAATAAAATATTTCGCTGTTTTAATAAAATGTATGTTATATGAACATCATTATTTTAAAAATATTTTTCAAAATGTCTATTAGTCTGAATTTGAAAGAAATTGATCCAAGACAAATATTAATTTAATATAATTCAATGACAAACTTGATACTTTAGTTATCTGAAGTGCTATTGAAATTATAAACATTGGAAGTATTAGACTAAATTGAATTTTATGTTTTTATTATTCGGTAGGTACCACATATATGGATACAATCATATTAGGTACATAATATTAAAAATCTTAGCCCCTTTATTTCCCTTCCGTTAATTTTTAGGGATTGGATATGAACCAATAATGGACATTATCAGTGAAAAATAGCTTTTTCTACTCCCGTCTGTAAAATACCCAATTACACACCGATCTAGCGTGCGTGAAGAGTCACTTTCCACGTCAGTTTCGTTTCCTAGGGATCTGAACCACTTCGGACATTTTCGGGATTGTACCGCACGGGTTTGGGAGCAATCGGATGTTATCAGAGATATTTCCCATGTATTGAATTTTGACATTTGTCAATTCTGACGGTCATGTCAGTGAATGTCTTCTTGTTGTTTTGCGAAAATGTACCCAAAAACTAACGGTCGTAGAAAAAGTATAGTAAGCAACACGTTCGGTAAACTTTTTAAATCACTCGTTCCGTGCGCTCCGCTCGTGAGTCAAATGCCGTTTACCACACTTGTTGGATAATATACTATTACAAAACGAATAATTATTAGGAAATTATTATTTCTATTATATATTTTTTTAATATCTGTTATACCCTTTAGATATTTTAATGAAATATATCATACACGCACTAATTTCATCTGTCTATTTTGGCAGACGTAAATGGCACGCCACTGATTTCTAAACGTTATTTATACAATCTTCATTCATTTCTAAAGAAATTAAATTTCTTGATGTTTTTTCAGTCCGATATATGGTTTTCGCTGAATAAAATAAAAAACTCTTCTCTGCATTGTCATATAAATATCGTTAATGACAGCATGCATTATCATTATTATTTCTTACAGCCTTTTATTTTATTTTTTTGCAGGATACTAGTTGATAACTAAAAACAATAAATTTTGTTTTAGATAGATATTTTATTCTTCACCAAAAACAGTTCTCGATTTAATCAATGCAGTGGCGACCTAATTAACCAAAATATTATTTGTTCATAGACAGTCAGTGGCACGCCACTGATTTCTTAAAAAAAAAGACATTTGCATTCATTTATGAACAGATTTGATCTCTTAATTTTTTTTAGTCCGTTTCACGGTTTTCACTTAAAAGTTTTTAAAAACAAAATGTATTTTTTTAATACCAGTAATACCACTTTAGATATTTTAATGAAATTTGGCACACATTTATTATGTGTCAAGAGGCATTATTTTAAATGCAACAGTGGCGGGCGTACGGAATTTCACGTGTCTATTTTGGTAGACATTGATGGTACGCCATTGATTTCTCTTAAAATAAAAATTATTCTTGCAATCTCCAATCAATTCAGTCAAATCAAGGAATTTAATTTCTGGATTTTTTTCAATCTGATTTTACGGTTTTCGCTTAAAAAAATAAAAACTCTTTTTTGCATGGTCATAACAATGTCGTTAATATGACAGCATGCAGAAAAAAAATTAAAACAAATCTGCTCTTAAATGAATGCAAATATCATATTTTTTTAAGGAAATTAGTAGCGTGTCAGTGACTGTCTATGGTTGGTTAATTGGTTTTGTTAATTAGATCGCCACTGCATTGGTAAAATCGAGAACTAAACTAAAACTAAACTAAAACTAAAACAAGATATAGAAGAAGACCGTCGAGGACTGCCAAAATAGACAGGTGAAATTAGTACGTGAAGTTTTATTTTTAAAGTGGACCCAAAAATCTCCCCTTAATTATTGACATTCAATTAGAAAACACCCTGTTTTATATATGCAATACGTGCAGAAATATTTTAGGTGACTTACCCGCATCTATTTAAATGTGAATATAATAAAACATTTGGAAGGACAAGAATAATAATAATAATCAATCAAATTTGTGCATTTCAACGAATTGTTCCTTTGTAATGTACTCCCAATTCCCTGGTTGACAATTTATAGCCTAGAGTTGATGCTCGTTTCCTTGACCAACATTGACACAACGTAATATAATTTTGGGTATAGAAGATTAACAGTCTATTTGCATACAATTGTTAATCGCATTATAACGAATTCTGCAAATAAAGGATTAGTATAAACTATTAGTATAACTCCGTTACCGTTTCTCGCAATTCTAGCACAAGGGCGGAGATAGTACAAGCGCAACTATAAAGGTCGTATGTTATTTAAAAATAAATATAAACCATAAAACAGTATTAATGATCATTGCTGTAAATCAAATTTGAATCATAAGCAAATTTTTACTGAATGACTTATTACAGCAGATTGGCCGGTCTGTCATCCGCTAGGCTCATTTCTAAAATTTCCAAATTGCTTTGTTGAACCTTCGTTGAGGACATGTTTAGGTAAAAATAAAAGATAGCATGATATTTATTTTATGCATGCCATCGTAAGCTGTTTATTTTATATCTGTTGATGTATATATCTCAATCACTTCAGTTCGCATGTGCACCATTTTTGCATTTTGAATATTACTCAGTTTTATAACTAACACGATTGGGTAAAGTTCGGTGTATAAATGTTTCAAATAACCAAGAAATTTTTACAAGATAGAATTGAAAATGAATTGCAAAGTAGTGACGATGAATTTTATATTGACGCATCTGAAAATGATAGATTGGATAGTGATAATATTAGTGACTCTAGTAGTGGTAGTGACGTTATAGTTACTAAAAGACAGAGAACCATACTTTTACCATCAAGTTCAAGCAGGATTGAAGAAAACTGAATATAACACAACCTGGTAATTTTGGTCCATGGCAGGACGTCACAAGCCACGATCAATTACCAGACAGGATTCTATTTACTTCTGGGGATAAAATGGTAGGACCACAAATTCCATATATTTTTTCAAGCTCTTTTTTACTGATGAGCTAATAATAAAAATAGTGGAAGAGGTTGTCAAAACGTGGGTAGATACTATGGTGGAAGAGTTTACCGCATTTATTGGGTTTGTCCTAAATATTGGTACTATAATCTTATCTAAAATACGCAAAAATACCTTTTTTAGTAGCATATTTAGAAGAGAACGATTTTTACAAATTTTTTGGATGTTCCACTTTTATGAAAACCATCTCTCTTAGGGTTCGAACTCAACAATTCAAAAAACAAGCAATTCAAAAAACATTTTGTTCCATCAATAGAGATATCGGTAGACGAGTCTGTTGTTAGATTTAAGGGTAAAATTTGTTTTTAAACTTACAAACCCGGCAAGCCTACGAAATGGGGGATACGAATTTATGTAATTGCGGATGCTAACACCGGATATGTTTATTCAATTTTGCCGTACTAAGGAAGCTTGACATCGGAAGATTTAGTAAGACCTGATTTACCTGTAAGCACAAGGATAGTGTTACATCTGTGTCAGAAAGTATTAAACAATAATCCAGGATGAAGAGGATATCATTTTTACACCGATATATACTACTTGCAGAAGAATTGTTAAAACTGAATGTTTACTTGACAGGTACTATTCAAATCAATCGCAAATTTATACCCGATTCTATCATATCTATCATACTGTTTCCTGGGGAAGTCTTTAAAATGAGGGCCAAAGTTATTTTTCTGGGGACTCGAAACGTCTAGTGTCGATGCATATTTATTATATAAAATTTCACAACGGGACCAAAACAAAAAACCAATGTCATCTAAAATTTGTTCGGGAATTGGTTGACGAGATGACAAAAAACTTTGGGCAGGGATCCAAAATTTCTGGCAGCGGTAAGTCTTCGCTACTCATTTGTGACTGCTTCGAACGGTACCATACACTACAACATTACAAGATGTAAATTTTTTATATTCTGTATGAATTAATTTAATAATAATGGGAGTGATTATGGTAATAATAATAAATTATTGAAAAAAAAAATCCGTAGCTTTTATAAAGCCATTTTTGAATTAAAAAAAAAACCTATACCAAAACATCGGAGTAGACAGATAAGTAGATTAACTCCCAGCACAGTGTACTCGCGAAAGGACATATATACGAGTACAAAGGGTTAACATTCATGTACTATTTATTGAGTTGAGACTTGAAAAATCAAATGATGATGTGCTCATCATAATATATTAGCAGGAAATCTGATAAAGGCCACTTATAAAACTCGTTAAATAAATTTTTCATTTCTTAACATGTAGTATAATTACATCTAAGACTGTTTATCAGAGTATGATTCGAATCATATATTGCAAATATTTGGGGCATAAATTTAGTAATAATTTGTAATAAATTATAGTAAAAATATGCGAAATTTGCAGAGTAAATATTAAAGCCAGGTCTGCTGTCTTTTAAATTATTTTTAACAATATAAAATGATATTTTTTGCACACTCGAAACATTGCCCATCTGCCTTTCGATTCCATCGCGTGGCACGTCTGGACAGTCGGTGGCTGCTAATATATGTACAGCTCGCAGAGTGCGCATCTCGCACGTAAAAGAAAATTGTAATTGAGACCGGTCACTTTTAACCGTTTGATCTAATCGCAACATTCAGAGATAAACTTTTAAAACAACAGTTTCCTCTAGTGAGCGAACTAAATTGACTATAAGAGTTCTAAGTATTGTGTTATCATCAGTTATGAATTGTAGTCATAAAATATAATGTTTCTATTCCCCTTCGTTTTTGCAAATTGTGAAGCAAATAAAAGTCATCAAATGTCAGACGGAAATATGTTGCCTTATTTATTTTTATGTACAAATACGATTACAAATAATATATGTACAAATGATTGTACTATATGCCGTCGTGCTAAACTTACAATTACCTAAAAATAAACAACTTTTAGTACACAATGCGAGTATAATAATATGTTGTCAATAGGACACATATAGAAATTGAGCAATAATAAACGATTCCATCCGATTAAAACTCATATGTATTGGAAGTATGTCCCGGAATCGTACATCCCCAGCCAATCCTCCTTGATCATATCAGACCCTTTTTCGCCGATCATGATCACCGGCGCGTTAGTATTTCCCGTAGTAATGGTAGGCATTATGCTGGCGTCGATCACCCTCAATCCTGCGACACCATGCACTCTCAATCTATGATCCACTACCGCCGTCTCGTCCCATTTCGATCCCATTTTACAAGTACCCACAGGGTGGTAGATGGTCATGGAGAGGGTTCTCAAATGGCACTCCCAATAGAGATCGGAGCCGAACGGCAGGTGTGTACAGGTCGGCAGTGGTATGTCGTGTAGTTTGGAACCAAAACGCCTCATTATTTTCGATTCGCTTATCCGTATAGCTAATTTAGTTCCTTCGACGAGAGTTTTTACGTCGAGTTGGTCATCGAAATAGTTAGGGTCGATGACGGGAGCGTCGAAGGGGTTTTTGCTCCTCAATCTGACGGTACCTTTACTCCTGGGTCTTACCAGAAGCGGGATTAATTGGTAGACGTCACGATTCTCTAACGGTCTGTAGACGGTATCATAGACGTCGTCCTTTAAGTTAAGAATCGTTTTGGAAAGTTGGGAGTTGATACTAGTGGTTACCAAATGAAATTGCATATCCGGCCACGTCACATTACCATACCTAGAAGCACGTTTTAAATCTAAATCTGTTTATTGTCTCTCGGTATATGCGTTACATCTCACCACAAACAATTAATTTATTTCTGTAACTATTCTAGCAACATTGTATCGATTTGAGCTTTAGACGTGTTTTAATTATTGGCAACTTTAACTACAAAAACAAATTAATTCTGATAAAATGGACTCCAAGACTGTTTTTTTTTCATTTTTTTGTTAATTTAATAGATGTTAATCAATTTAATTTTGTAACTGTATAACTGCACAAATATCAATTTGCTGTTGATTTTTTTTGACAAATTCGTTCTGTTCCTAAGAATAGGACATATTCATCAGACATCATTTGAGAAGCGAGAGAGAAGAGGTACGGGTCTGACTTATGTTAATTTAGATTATAAAAGATTGAGATCTCTGACATATATTTGGTAACATATCAGTTTAATTTTTTTTTTAAGTTTTTAAAAGTCACGAATTCCAGACACCATGTCATATTATAATGAAACTCTGAATAATTTGAGGTATATTGTTGAAGGTTTTAAGCAATTTCTTGAAAAATCTTACACACCTAATTCTAAAGGCACCTTACTCTTCAGTAATGTTGAACTAAAATCTTATTCACGTAAAAGATTTTTCGAAAGTTACAGTTAATCAATACCGATGTTGCTTAATCTATTGCTGAAGTTCAGTCAGAAATGAAACTAGATGAGATTGACGAGATAAGCGATAACAATTTTATGGAAGTTGTACACAAAAAACGACGTTCTAAAATAAATGTTGTAGTTGGGAGCAATAGTATAATTATTTGTTCTTTGAAAACATCAGATTCTCTAGCTTTTCTTCATGTATATAAGTTACACCCAGAGACAACTGTTGAAGACCTTACCAACTATTTGTCTTCGATATTTCCCGAGGTAAAATACGAAAAACTAAATTCGCAGTACCCCAACTATTATTCGTCATTCAAAGTCACTATAGATAAGGATCACTACGAACAATCCACGGAACCTTCTTTGAAGCCGATGGGAACTTGTGTAAATCGTTTTTTTTTCACAGAAGGAAGACTCAAATGTCACTCAGATAAGCACGCATATAGATCTTGACAGGTGGGATGATGTAAATTCCTTACAACATTTTTTAACGCAGAGAACAATTAATGTAAAGGACTTTAAAAACAGCTTTAGCGTGTTTCATATTAATATTCAAGGTGTGTCTGAAAAAATTGATCAGCTGACTTTAATTCTAAACGAATATCTATTCGATCTGGTGTGTTTTTCGGAGCACTTTTTAGGGCAACATTTTTTCGAACAGATTTATATACCTGGTTACAAACTGGCTGCTTATTATTGTAGATCGAGACGTGAGAGGGGCGGTGTGTGTATTTTTATAAAGAATAATATTGAATTTAAGCCTATAAATTTTAAGCTATTATCTTGGTTCGGGTTTAAAGGCCGTCGTCGATTGGAATTACTTCCTAACGTTTCGCTAGCACGAGTGGCGAGCTTCTTCAGAGGTCCTTCCATCTCCGATGTTGGACGTAGACTCTACTACGTCCAACATCGGAGATGGAAGGACCTCTGAAGAAGCTCGCCACTCGTGCTAGCGAAACGTTAGGAAGTAATTCCAATCGACGACGGCCTTTAAACCCGAACCAAGATAATAGCTTATCAACGGGCCGCGAAAGCCTTAACCAACCTATAAATTTTGACAAATTTAATATCGAGCGTGACGATATTACCTCTTATAGTGTTTTTATCTTTGTCTCTTTGTTCTTTTTTTTTGTATTTAAAATGTATTGTTATTTATATTTGTTGGTATACTGTAACGTAGGGTTTATATTCAATTGTTTTACTTTTTATACTTAAACTGTATTTTTAATATTGCACAATATTATTACTCTGACCTGCTATAATGTACTTTGTACAAAAATAGGTAACAATAAATCTATCTATCTATCTATCAATATCAGAAAAAACTACAACACAACATGACTTCGATTTCTGACCAGATCAGGCTTTTTAGTGCGATACTGAAGCATTATTTTTGGAATGTTTCTTACTTAATCTTGCTGTTAAAACGTCTATATTTCTAGATATCTGGAAAATGCACAAAACTGTCAACATTGAGGATATTGAAGATGTTCAAACACGTGTCGTAAAGCTGCTACTCCTATTTAAATTAGACTACGAATGTTCTCCAGAATGAGACCCTGTTAGAGAGACTTTATTTTTAGTAACTCGAAGCAAAACGCTAGAAAAATTTTTCTGTATAAACAATTATCTAAGCGTCCGCCCTTTTTTGCCTTTAGACATAAAATATTGAAATTCCCTATTCATGAACAAGGTACGTAGAAACTATTTACAGCACAACATTATTCTCCAATCTGGGTCTAAACAGTGCTTTAAACATATCGTACAGAGATCATAATTATTTTTAGCTACATATATGAAATGGAAAAATAACCTTGTGTTAAGAGATTTAGATTTATTTTTCTCTATTTATATTTTCATTTTATAGTGAACAATTGAAATACATAAATGACTAATTCAATATATGCATTTGGAACTAGAAACAAATTACTCACTTTGTGCTGACAAAAGCAACACCCTCCGATGCCGCGAAAGTTGTTAAAGGGCCTCTATTTTTGAGTATGTAGCTCTGCAATAGCGGCAAGGAGGGAATCCGGTCTGTGATAAACGAAAGAGGCTCGTCGATGGTGAAAGTTAGACCACCGACGGAGATGTGGTCTTGCAGGTTGTCTCCAACGGGGAGGTCCCTAAGAACCGGTATCCCGTGGTAGAGTAAATGGTCCCTTGGTCCTATTCCTGACACCATAAGCAGTTGGGCTGAGTTTACCGTCCCCGCTGAGAGTATAACTTCTTTTCTGGCGTTTATTGAGTATTTGAATCCTGGAACGGGATGGTGCTTTGTAATAGTAATGATGTGGTACATTATAAAAAGGAAGTAGCTAAGAACAAGTTACAAACATACAATTTTCTGAAATTCATTCAAGCAAACGAAAAAAGTACTCCATGTAACCAGCTAATTCAAATATATTTTTTAATTGTCCTATCAATGTTATATTTCTTAATTTGTTTTTTAGAGTAAAGAAATGATTTTTATTTAGCCGCAGCCAGATATTCTAACACATAATGAAATGCAGATAAAAATGTGGTGTTTTTTTCTTAATTTTTAATGAGTATTTTAACATCCAAGGAATAGTATTGTCGAAACGTAAACCAGCAACCACTGGTGGTTATTTAAAATATTCATAACCGTGTGATATAATATAATAATCCAAAAATGACCTAAAATATCAAATGTTTTTTCACATTCTATTGTGTTTCTTACCCTAGGAAGCCACAAGTATCGACTATGAATTTCACCCTTAGTTTTCTTTTTACCATGGTGTCTGTTTGCGGGTTATTGTAGGCGCTAGACAATAATAACGGTTTAAGGTTTTTGTTTTTTGTCGTATTCATCATTAAGTTCCTTTCACATTATTCACAAATTTTTCTGCTCCTAGTCATTATTTTTCAATTGCAGTTTATGTTATTTCTTTCTAAAACCTTCAATTATTATTACCATGATTGTTTCTTGAGTTAGATCCATCAATGCTATTTAAAATATATATATCAATAATCATTTTACATTTTGATGTATGGCGAATGCGCAAGATCGAATATATTCTGTTTTGTCCGCAGCGCCAGATCAAATAATTTATTGCTTATAGAGAAAGTTGTCTAAAATACTTGAAGTATTTTTAAATTTATAGTTTATTATGCACCATTATGCAAAGATATTTGTATGTTTACACAAAGGAACCCAATTAGAATATTGTAAAATTTTGTATCGTTTTTTAGGAAAAAACCAACATAAATTAATAATAATGTTATAGATACATATTAAAATTAGTAATTCTAGTTTTGCTAGCTTGGTTTTGTTTCTTAGCTGCGATTTTCCAAAAGCGCACTAATGAGGCATGCGTAAAGTGTCAGTTTAGAACGTTAGTTTCATTAATCGTGCCCAGATGATGTTTTCGGAACTTTAGTCACAGGTTAGAAGCGATCCGGTGTTTTCAAAAATGTACTCAAACAATGATGGTCGTAAAAAAAGTAGAGCATGCTACACGTTTATTAACTTTTTCAGGAACTGTTTTATTAAACACTCCCTCCGTTCATGTCAAATCAGACCCGCGACCAAATGGATTTTATCAAACTTGTTGAATATTATACTATTTCTGAATTTGTAATCAAATTTTTACTTTTTGGACTATTAAATGATTTCTCGTAAATTCTACCTTTTAAATTGTACCGAGTCATATTAGTACAATTCCATCACGTAAGTTATTTAAATATATCTTGTTTATGAAATCTCCAACATAATTTAAGTGATATTGGAATAATTTTAGAATAATGTTAGTTCACAGCTTCGTGTAAAACGAAAACGGAAAAAGTTAATAATTCTTAGTTTGTAGTTTGTTTTTTTTTTTTTAGTTTTGCTTTTAGCTCTCTGTCTCATTTCGGAGTTTTGTGTGAGACGAATTTGATGCGCTGAGTTCTAGGCTGTGCATCTTTTTTTTCTTACCATTTCTAAGAAACTCGACTCCTTGGGCACTCATGCTTGTGGGGTTTATCACTATCCTTGTCACGTGAGCGTTCATTGCTATGTGGAGGTTCTCCCTCAGTTTGACCGGCCTCAAATAAGCTTTGGCTGTCGAACAGCGTCGCCCGTCCCTAACCGTACCTTGGGCCATCATAAAACCTGCTTGTTCTTCTGAATTTACGTCTCTGAAACAATGCAACCATTTCTAATATAATAATTAATAAGTTACTGGAAATATTTAATAAATATTTTAGATCTGTTTTGTATGCAATTTTAAAGTGGAGATTTTTAAATTGTTAATAATAACGCTAAATTAAATAAAAAAAAGAAAAACTTTGCAAAAGAAAGCAACAAAAGTAAACTTAGAAGTGGACAAAATGTACCATATGAATGAGATTAAATTTGTATTTTAGATTGAAACAAATAACTTTGTGCAATGTAACACTGTCTACTAGTGACTTATGACTAAGATTTGCCATATATTTAAAAAAATATCTTTGTATTCTTTGTATCGCTTCTTTATGCAGTCGATAGTAAGGACACGAAAGTATCGCACAAACTTAGACATAACATGAGAGTAGAACAGAGTTTTTAAGGTACTAATATTTGCAAAATTCTTGCAATGTCTAACAATAAACCCAGAAGCTTTAGATCCTTCTTCAACTTTCTGATATAGGTATCAATTTAGTGTCAAATATAACAACCAATAATAACCTTATATTTACTCCCATTTCATTTCAATTTGTTTGTGATACACAAAGCCTTATTTTTCTGAAGGTCATCCTGCAACTCCCCGCAATTCATTGAGGTTATTGTTGGGAATAATTTTAAATGATCGCAATGACCGATCTGATAAATTCGGACGTTAACAAACATCAAAAATGAAAGTCCTATGTTAGAGCCTTGCGGTTCACCTGTACAGAGCAATTAATCAATAGTAATCAATCTCATCTAAATACTCGTCTAAATACTCTTTGCATGTTCAGTTTCGAAAGGATGAGACTGCTTATTTTCGTTTGGCGTTTTACCTTATCACGACATACACCAGAACACACACATATGATATTCACAAACATCATGGTAGAATATATATATTTTTTCATTTAATTAATTTATTTTAGTTATTTTAAGTAATCCTTTATTAATTTTGTTGTTTTGTTGGCTTCTTCAGAGCTTGACTGAAACTGCCGAAACGTCAGCAAGTTCCGCAGCAAAAACCGACGCAGGAGGAATCCAGAAGTTTTGTAAAAAACCTTTATTAATATATTTGGCACATGTTTTTAGAATTATCCCTTGCATAAAAGTTCACTGCTTGTTAAGCTTGGTTAGTTTCATTTGAGTCTTTGAAATATATATGAAAAATCTAATGATAATATATCGTTAATCGTTAATTGAATTGTAGGATACAACGTAAATATTTTAAAATCACCTTTTGTGGGTCTAGTGAAAACTCGAAACTCTGCTTAATAAAAAGTTGTTTAATTGTTTGTATTTTTGAGCACTAAGAAAATTTTTTGTTTATAATAAATAAAAGTGGGGTCTTCGAAAAAAGTTTTTGCTGTACTTAGAAACCCGTGAAACTTAACTTCTATCGTGAAGAAAGTTAATACTTTTCGCACAGTTTACAGCTCCAAATGTTTTAGTTTTTGCATTATTGCAAAAATATTGTTCTTTTTGCGCTAGTGCAAAAAATATTATGACGTTTCTTTTAATTATTTCGATTTGTCAATTTCATTATTTTATTGTAAGACAGTTGTAAATGTTGTGTGCATTCTACACGCTGCAAATCTTATCTTCATCACACAATCACAAGTAGTCATAGTAAAACCGGTTTTGCTTGGTCACCGCCTTTGTCGTGTTATTAGTTTGGTGTTTCGGAGATACTTATCAGAAAAATAAACTACCTTATTGGGTAGCCGAGTTCTTTCCCTCCCTGCAAGAATCCTAGAATAAGCGGGGTTCTCCAAGGTGCGTCGTCGACGGTTAGGGGACCTCCGGTTCCGTGATAGGGTGATGTCGCCAAATAAGGGTTCCGATTGTCCTCCGATTTTATGAAATATTTGAGCACGTCGTCGTAGCCCCACCCCGGATTGCCTAAATAAAAAAAGTCAACTATACGGTGCTAAATATGCTTTGCCACCATTTTAGTACCCAACTGTTCCCACAAATCGTAGTCCAACCTGTTTCCTCTTACGTAAATCATGTAATTGAATACGCTGCATCCGCCAAGTATTTTCCCCCTAGTCCAGGCACACTGATTGTTCTTCATTCCTAAAACATGGATCATCGTGCCGCCATTATCACTTCTTAAAACGGTTACCTAAACACGCCTTGTCCATGGGCACCGTTTTGTACCTCCAGTCCAGTGTGGACATTTGTAAGTTGTTTGCGAAAGCCGGCACGTCCGTGATGACATTTTCGTCAGGTCCAGCTTCCAGCAGTAAGACTTTCCATTCCGGTACCTCCGACAGTCTCGAGGCTACCTACGAGGCGGTGTTGACACGGGGATACACAAGCTCTTAGATTATAAGCGACTTACTAACCACTGCCCCTGCCGAGCCGCCACCGACGACGATGAAATCGTACTCTTCGTATAAATCTTTCTGGTCGTGTATTAGAGATTCCGGATCGTGCGGGTCTCTGCTGAGGTAAGGCAAGCTGCCGAGGAACAATGGGATCAATAGGAGACTGAATCCAGCTGGCGAGACTGTTTTTAGTACAGTCGATGTGGCGAAGAGGATGGTTTCAAAAGTCATTGTGTCTCAGTAGGGCCAGTTCTTCAACCTGTCGCAAAAACAAGAACACAATTTTGGGACCGCGTCATTTTAAGATTAAAAGACAAAAGATGTGGGTTCGATAATAGCATCAAAAGCAAGGATGGCTATTGCTTTTCGTTGCCGCAGATCTAGGAAATCTGGACTCAATACCGATTTTATGAGACCTTTAACATTATTTCCTCTTTTGTTAAGTATTAATTGTATATTTTGTTTTTTAAAGACTAAAGTCAGTTCAACATGAAATATTGCTTCTAGCCGATAGAGAAGGGATTATTTTGGCACCCTGCAATAGATTGTGTTCATACTATCATATATATATATATATATATATATATATATATATATATATATATATATATATATATATATATATATATATATATATATATATATATATATATATATATATATATATATATATATATATATATATATATATATATATATATATATATATATATATATATATATATATATATTTATTGCTTATATTTATTGCTTTATTGCTTCAACCATTAATAAAAATAACATTAACAAAATTATATCCCCAATTTAATTTGGTACCAAAGGACTAAGAAAGTTAGATATCTGGCACAACTAACATACTGTCACACTCCTAATTTTACCATTCAATTAACATACCGACAGAGGCAGAAACAACGCTTGGAGGGGAATTGGCAAAGGATTAACGATAAGGAAGTATCTAAAAAAAGTTTTTTAATATAGTAGAAACGAAAATGAAATCTTGCTAGTATGTATTTGATTATATATATGATGTTTGATTCAGACAACACACAGTTCTAGAAAGTGATCGTAATAATTTTACTTAAAAATTCGATACCTGGTTCTCCTAAACTTAAACTCATCGAACACAATGCAAATAAATGGCTCCGATAACATAATTTTTGTTTTCACACACGGTTTCTCACGATTTTACGTTTTGCAAAAGCGAGATGTAGCAACCAACTGAAAATTTGGTCGCACGAGTTTTTGATTCTCCCCTCTATATGTAAAATATTTTAAGAGTCGCAGTGTTAGCGTTTGTATCGAACACTAATAACCACTTTGATTTTTTAATTGGGACAACCTGTATATTGATACATTTTTTCTGCGTTGTCCCTTTCTGACTGTTTAAGTATTAATTCTTTTTTGAGTATATTCGTGAAACAAAGAACAATTTCAATTCTTAATGTTGGGTTAGTCGAATATTTAGAAAACTGAAAGTTTATCTACAATTTGCTAGTAGCAGAGTGTTTACAAAATTAGTAAAAAATATGTTTTTAAAATAGTATTTTCAATGAAATTAATTTGCGAACATTTTTACCAGACATATCCTGACTTACCACCCTGAATCTGAATCTGAGAAAATTTGTACGAATAGAAACTGTGTTTTGTAGAAATATTTGCATTTTAATCCGTCCGCACTCTTAATAAACATTTCTTTAGAATTTCATGTGAATAATTTTTATCCCTCTTAATTTTTTTCTTTATTGTTTGACAATTCCAAGGCTATTGTCGATTTTTCATATATATGTGTATGTATTGTGATATTTTATGGCTACCTTACACTTACAAAAATCTCAAAATAATTGAGTTGCTTATGGAGGTTGGTCGGCCCTGTATTTTAATGAATTTAACATATTTGCTGTAGTATCTTTGTTTTCGTATTAAATCAATTTATTTATTTTTAGAAGTTGTGTTAAATTTTGAAAAAAAAAGAAAACATTCCTATACATAGTTTAAACAATAGAAGTAGTTTTAACCCAGGTGGAAAGATTTGTAAACCTAAGTTGGCTTTTCGTTCTCAGAAAATATTGCTTCTTTATTTTTTAATGACTTGGTGGTTTAGTGGTTTTTTCTTTACCGGACGGCCACTATTACGAAATTTGAAGTTTTCTAAGAAATGTACTATTTTCGTTAAAAATGAACTTATTTCATTGTTATATGAAAAGGCCCTTTTGTGTTAAAACATTATATCTTTTATGTTAAATTTAGTATAATGTAAAATTCAATATCTACCTTGAACGTATCACCAAAAAGTAGAGTCAAAACGTCGATAAACAGTCACGACCACTAAGTTAATAACTGCCGATCAATATTTAAAAATTAATTAAGATCAGATTCTTGGCAAACTTACTGACATTGGCGGTTTGGATTTGCGCAAAACTTTTCACACCCGAGCGCCGAAGCTTAATGACATTTCGTACTTAATTTGATGTGGCGGCAAAATTGCGATTTTCAAAGCTTCGCCCTCGGATGGTTTTGCCCGGTTTTCTAATTTCTCCATATAAGTCGGTAACGCAATGAATTGTCGCTCTATATATTTACGTCTAATCTAATTTTTATTTATGCGAATTAGTCGAGGAAATTATTTTAGAAAAAATATTCCGTTCACTCGGCCTTCATGGAGAAGTGGCTCCTGCATTTTTGTAAAAAATGCGATTTCTTTCTTCGTCGAGTGTGATTGATTGAAGTCGCTTCGGGCGGGAAGTTGTAATGAGTCGTTGACATTTGAGGAAAACGTTAGTTGATTATCATCAAGATTTTTCTTTGCTTATTTGCATACCGAACCCTTTTTACTATATACCCATTATCGATGTCACCTAGCATAAAAAACAAACTAAGTAAAACAGTGTGTACCGAGGGTCAGAGTAAATTATTTAGTAAACTATGAAAACTGGGAAGCCTAGTGGTCCCGAGTTCCTAGTACTTTATGGTACTCATAAAGAAAAAGGAAGAAAAGGTTTCTGCGTCATAGATGATGCAAAATACTCAAAAATTTAATCTCACTCACTCTCTCGCTTACTCTCAATTAATCTTAACTCTCTCTGGCCATCGAGAAAAATACTTTGTTAGCCTATGATATTGTGCAAACTAAGAAACTCTGGTAAGAAATCAATAGAAGTCCAATAAAATAACGCAATTAAAGACAGTCCTACAGCTTTGCAATAATTGTCCTGGTAAAATTAAAATTGGACAAACTACTATCGCTGCTTAACACTAAATTCTTAAGAACTAGCGCAAGAGATGTTTTTCATCTCCATACTCTATATTTCTGAAAGACCAAATATATGTGTGTTGGTGGACAGGTAACCAGCACCTAGAAGTAAAAATTGAAAATTGAATTACTCATCAGCAAGGACAGGAAGGTTAAGACTTTGATCTAGAAATATCAGATCACAGGAAAAAACGTATATAATGCCATCGTGATAGGCTCAGAGGTGTGGCGAGTGTCTAGTTTAGACAGAATCGCAAACGAGAGAATATGAGAGAGAATGAAAGTTGTCAGTAACATCGTAGAAGTGATTTATTTTACTTCAATCAAAACTTAACAATTTTTTGGTGTTTCCACTTCTGTCTTGGCTTACTGTCTATGTTAACAACAAAATAAAAAACGATATAGGTTGTTGAACATTTCTGCATTTGGAAATACCCTGTATATATTTTCAGTCACGTTTCGTGTACTGTAGAGAAAATGTCATCGAATTCAAATAATTTATTTATGATGCCACAAATAGATGCGGTTTAAAATACATCAGGAACAGGAAATGTTACTAAACATCGGTAAAATAGAATTTTTTATTTAATGGTAAAAGCAATATAGCTGACGTAAATTGTACATATCACGCACATAATCTACCGCAGCTTTTTTTTTTAATTAGTTTGGACGTTTTCACAAACCGAAAACCATATTCGCATTTAGAACTACTCATATGAACGAATTTCATGAAAGAATCTAATTAATTTTTTATCCAATGTTATACAGGGTTCTTCAAAAAACTAGTAGCAACGAAGCTCATGGAGGTGGAAGAAGGGCTTGAGCTTGCCCCCTGATGATTTTATCCCCATCACAGTAGTTATTATCTTTGCCCATTTGGATGTGATTATAATAATATATATATTAAAAATTTACTTGTTTTTTTGTTTATTAAAATTTTACTTTTTTTTTAATAAACAAGACAACTTTTCTTTATAATAGAAATGATAAAATTAAAACTAATAATTTTTTTTCAAAAATATTAACTTTTGACAGTTCACCCCGTCAATAAAAAATTAATTAAAATAAGGCATTGTTTACTTTAAAAGTGAATGATACTCAACAAAGCCAGCTAAGTTATTGAACTGCGCCAAAACTTTTAGTGATAAAATTATAGTAATAGTGAAAATGCGGTTTTCTCGGGCACGGATAACTTCTTTGTTTAAAAGTTACACCAGAGAGCTTTCTAGCATTTCTATCTGTCTGTTAGAAAGACAGCGCATTGCGCCCTTTATTGGGTATCTTTACACAAATCAAAAAACTAACGGTATATAACTGTTCCTGTGATTTCTGTGGAACAGTTTGTTAAATCATCAACACATATCTAATTTTAACATTCTTCCTAACACCCAGTATCTTTTTATATCAACGAACTTCTTTACCAATTACTCTGCTAACTAAAATAATCTGGATAATCGAATCATTGGAATAGATAAATTAGCAATCTTTGAGAAAAAAAAAATTTTCTATACTTTCATCGCAATACAGGAAAAAAATAGAGAAAACATTTTCTTACCTGATCATTTTGCACTATGAAAATTTCACTGAAAATTCAGCGATAGTGGGGCATAGCATCACAATTTCAATCAAATCTCAAACACTGAAGGCCCCGACCCGCGCACGCCTGACTTACCCTTTACTGATAAGGACAAAATTGTCGGAAAATATTATTTGAGTCGTAATGAAACGAAAGTACGAGAGTGGGTTCGCTTTTCATACGTTTAACGGCAAAATTGTCGATCACAGATATTGTTGTGTACGTTATTAAGGAATACATTACTACATTCTCGAGGAAATTGGATCGCCGCTAATGATAAAACGTTGTTACTCGGTATGGCATTTCGGTAAATTTGGAACGACACCTTTTGCCTAGATTTTAATCCTGATTTGCACATATTCAGCGGCAAAATAAAAGAAAAACTGCTTTAACAATAATTTTATTTTTGC